CGAACTGGTTGACAAGCCTCTTCATTTAAAGGGTGACGTGCCGTTGTCGGAGGGCGAACAGGTTGCATCTGTTAGTGATCAAACGGATGTTAATGATCTTTCCTTGCAAGAAGTTGTCGATGAGGGGGTCAACAGGCCGGCTGAAGAACTCCTGCACTCTGAGGCAGTCGTCTTGTCGTCACATGCTGAACAGCCTGACACAGTTGAGGAAGACACGAATGTGGGCGACGGGAAATGGAAGGAGTCCATCAACGAACCAGTCCAAGAGCAAGTTAGTGACCGTACTCGTTCACAGGGCAATATGCCGTTATCGCAGGTCGCACTGTTTGGATCTGTTGAGGGAGGCTCAGACCTCAGTGGTTTGATGTGGCAAGAGCCAGAGTCCGTCAACGACTCGACTCAGCAAACCCTGCTTTCAAATGCTGATGATGTACCATCAGAGAATGAACTGTCTGAAACAGTTATGATATCAACGGATGTGAATGACTCTCCAAGGAAGCAACCTATCGACGAGCCAGTCAACGAAGAGGTCGGTGCAACCCTTCAATCCAACGCCGGCGTACCGCTACCGCAGTTCAAACACCTAGAGTCCGTTGAGGGTCACACGGATGTGAATGATGCCATGTTGCATGATGTCGACAATGATTGTGTAAACGAACCGACTGAAGGACCATTGCATTTTGATGCAGACGATGTATCATCACAGGCTGAGCAGAATGAAAGAGTTGAAGAGTTCACGGATGTGAATGACACCACACGGAACGAAACTACCAACGAGCCATTCATTGAACCGGATGGCGTTCCTCTTCATTCCAAGGGCGACGAGCCTTTATCGCAGGCGGAACAGATTGGCCTTGTTGATAGTCACACGGATGAAAATGATCTTATGCCGCAGGAGTTCGCCAACGAGCTCATCGACCAGCCGGCTGGAGAATCCTTGAATTCCAACGCCGTCGTGCTATCATCTCAGGCCGGACAGCCTGAACCAACTGAGGACCACATTGATGGGAATGACGCCACAAACCAGGAAGACATCTATGAGCCAGGTAGTGAACTGGTTGGCGAGGCTCCTAATTCCAAGGCCGGCGTGCCGTTATCGCAGGCCGAACAGCTTGCATTTGTTGATGATCACACAGATGCTAACGATACCTCGCCGCAAGAAGTTGCCACTGAAGTGGTCAACAAACCGGTTGCCGAACTTATTCTTCCTAAGACTGATGTGCCGGTATCGCAGGCCGGACAGCTGGAATATGTTGAGCGTCATGAGAATGTTAAGGATCCCATGTGGCACGAGACGTTCAGAGATCCCTTCAACCAGGCCATTGAAGAACCCATCCAGTTTAACGCCGATCTGCTGCCAACATCGTCTGAACAGCTTAAACCAACTGAGAACCAAACGGATGCGACTAACACCACAAGGCAGAGCAGTATCGGAGGCAGTCATGAGGTCGACAATGATTCTGTAAACGAACCAGCTGAAGGACCATTACATTTTCATGCGGACGATGTAACATCAGAGGCTGGGTACAATGAAAGAGTTGAGGAGTTCACGGATGTGAATCACACCACAGAGCACGAAACTATCAACGAGCCAGTCAACGAACCGGAAGGCGTTCCTCTTCATTCCAAGGGCAACGAGCCTTTATCGCAGGTGGAACAGATTGAACTTGTTGATGGTCACACGGATGAGAGCGATACTATGACGCAGGAGTTCGTCAGCGAGCTCAAGAACCAACCGGTTGGAGAATCCTTGCATTCCAATGCCATCGTGTTATCATCTCAGGTCGAACAGCCTGAACCAACTGAGGACCACACGGATGGGAATGCCACCACATGTCATAAAAACATCAACGAGCCAGTCAACGAACTGGTTGACAAGCCTCTTCATTTAAAGGGTGACGTGCCGTTGTCGGAGGGCGAACAGGTTGCATCTGTTAGTGATCAAACGGATGTTAATGATCTTTCCTTGCAAGAAGTTGTCGATGAGGTGCTCAACAGGCCAGCTGAAGAACTCCTGCACTCTGAGGCCGTCGTCTTGTCGTCACATACTGAACAGCCTGACACAATTGAGGAAGACACGGATGTGAGCGACAGCAAATGGAAGGAATCCGTCAACGAACCAGTCCAAGAGCAAGTTAGCGATCCTACACATTCACTTGACGACGTGCCGTTTTCGCAGGTCGAACAGCTGCAACCAGTTGGGGCTTTCTCAGACGTGAATGATCCCGTGTGTCGGGCGCCTGTCAAGGAGCCCTTCAACGAGTTCATTGAAGAAGCCCTGCATTCAAGTGCTGACAATGCACCACTACAGGATGAGGTGGTAGAAACAGGTGCGAAACGAACGCATGTGAATTACTCCCCATGGAATGAATCCGTCAACCAGCCAGTTGGCGAACTAGTTGGTGTAAACCTTCATTCGAACGCTGACGCGCCGGTACCGCAGATCAAGCACCTTGAGTCTGTTGAGAGTCACACGGATGTGAATGACACCATGTTGAATGAGGTCGACAATGATTCTGTAAATGAAGTCATTGAAGAACCACTTCATCTTGATGCAGCCGGTGTATCATCACAGGCTGAACGGAATGAAAGGGCTGAAGAGGTCACGGATGTGAATGACGCCACACGGCACCAAATTACCAACGAGCCAATCAACGAACCGGTTGGCGTTCCTCTTCATTCCAAGGGCGACGAGCCTTTATCCCACGTGGAACAAATTGAACTTGTTGATGGCCACACGGATGAGAACGATACCATGACGCAGGAGTTCAACGAGCTCAAAAACCAGCCGATCGGAGAATCCTCCCATGCCAACACCTTCGTGCTATCATCTCAGGTCGAACAGCTTCTATCAACTGGGGAACACATGGATGAGAATGACACCACATGGCAGAAAGATATCAACGAACCAGTTAATGAACTGGTTGACGAGCCTCTGCATTCCATGGCCGGCGTGCCGTTATCACAGGTCGAACAGCTTACACCCGTCTATGGTTACCCAGATGTTAATGATCTCCCTTTGCGGGAGGTTGCCACCGAAGTGGTCAACCAACCAGTTGAAGAACTCCTGCATTTGAAGGACGTTGTGCCGTCACCAGAGGCTGTACAGTCCGAAAAAGTTGGGAAACACACGGATGCAATTGGCGCCGCACGGCAGCAGGATATCAGCGAGCCAGTCAACGAACTAGTTGCCAAACTCATTCATTCCAAGACTGATGTGCCGGTATCGCAGGCCGGACAGCTGGAATCTGTAGAGCGTCATGAGAATGTTAAGGATCCCATGTGGCAGGAGACGCTCATGGATCCTTTCAACCAGCCTATTGAAGAATTCGTGCATTTTAATGCCGAGCTGTTGTCAACACCGGCTGAACAGCCTGAACCAACAGGAAAACATGCGGATGCGGCTGACGCGACAAGGCAGAACGGTATCAAAGAGACGGTCAATGAATTACTTGACGAGCCTCTTCATTCCCAAGCTGGCGTACCGCTATCGCAGGTCAAACATCTTGCACCTGTTCATGGTCACACGGATGTTAATGATCTTTCCTTGCAAGAAGTTGTCGATGAGGGGGTCAACAGGCCGGCTGAAGAACTCCTGCACTCTGAGGCAGCCGTCTTGTCGTCACATGCTGAACAGCCTGACACAGTTGAGGAAGACACGAATGTGGGCGACAGGCAAATGGAAGGAATCCGTCAACGAACCAGTCCAAGGGCAAGTTAGTGACCGTACTCGTTCACAGGGCAATATGCCGTTATCGCAGGTCGCACTGTTTGGATCTGTTGAGGGAGGCTCAGACCTCAGTGGTTTGATGTGGCAAGAGCCAGAGTCCGTCAACGACTCGACTCAGCAAACCCTGCTTTCAAATGCTGATGATGTGTCATTAGAGAATGAACTGTCTGAAACAGTTATGAAATCAACGGATGTGAATGACTACCCAAGGAAGCAACCAATCGACGAGCCAGTCAACGAAGAGGTCGGTGCAGCACTTCAATCCAACTCCAACGTGCCGTTATCGCAGGTCAAACACCTTGAGTCTGCTGAGGGTCACACGGATGTGAATAACGCCATGTTGCATGAGGTCGACAATGATTCTGTAAACGAACCGACTGAAGGACCATTGCATTTTGATGCAGACGATGTATCATCACAGGCTGAAGAGAATGAAAGAGTTGAAGAGTTCACGGATGTGAATGACACCACAGGGCTCGAAACTACCAACGAGCCAGTCAACGAACCGGATGGCCTTTCTCTTCATTCCGAGGGCGACGAGACTTTATCCCAGGTGGAAAAGATTGACCTTGTTGATAGAAACACGGATGAAAACGATCTTGTGAGGCAGGAGTTCATCAACGAGCTCATCAACCAGCCGGTTGGAGGATCCTTGCATTCCAACGCCGTCATGCTATCATCTCAGGCTGAGCAGCCTGAACCATCTGAGGACCACATGGATGGGAATGACGCCACAAACCGGAAAGACATCTATGAGCCAGTTAGTGAGCTCGTTGGCGAGGCTCCTAATTCCAAGGCCGGTGTGCTGTTACCGCGGGCCGAACAGCTTGTACCTGTTGATGGTCACAATGATGTTAATGATCCCTCGCTGCAGAAGGATGCCATTGAGGTCGTCAACCAACCGGTTGCCGAACTCATGCATTCTGAGAATAAGGTACCGGTATCGCAGGCCGGACAGCTGGAATCCTTGGAGCGTCATGAGAATGTTAAGGATCCCATGTGGCAGGAGACGTTCAGAGATCCTTTCAATCAGCCTATTGAAGAATTCGTGCATTTTAATGCAGAGCTGTTGTCAACACCGGCTGAACAGCTTGAACCAACAGGAAAACATGCGGATGCGGCTGACGCGACAAGGCAGGACGGTATCAAAGAGACAGCTAACGAACTGGTTGACGAGCCTCGTCATTCCAAGGCCGGTATGCCGTTATCGCAGACGAAACAGCTTGCACCTGTTGGTAGTCACCCGGATGTTAATAATCCCTCGTTGCAGGACGTTGCCACTGAGGCTGTCAACCAGCCGGCTGAAGAGCTCCTGCATGCCAAGGCCATCGTGCCGTCGCCAGAGGCTGTGCAGCCTGAAGCTGTCCAGGAAGATACAGGTGTGAACGACAGCACATGGAAGGAATCCGTCAACGACCTAGTCCAAGAGCAAGTTAGCAATCTTACTCGTTCACAGGGCAATATGCCGTTATCGCAGGTCGCACTGTTTGGATCTGTTGAGGGAGGCTCAGACCTCAGTGGTTTGATGTGGCAAGAGCCAGAGTCCGTCAACGACTCGACTCAGCAAACCCTGCTTTCAAATGCTGATGATGTACCATCAGAGAATGAACTGTCTGAAACAGTTGTGAAATCAACGGATGTGAATGACTCCCCAAGGAAGAAACCTATCGACAAGCCAGTCAACGAAGAGGTCGGTGCAACACTCCAATCCAACTCCAACGTGCCGTTATCGCAGGTCAGACACCTTGAGTCTGTTGAGGGTCACACGGATGTGAATGACGCCATGTTGCATGAGGTCGACAATGATTCTGTAAACGAACCCATTCAACAGCCATTACATCTTGATGCGGACGATGTATCACCACAGGCTGAACAGAATGAAAAAGTTGAGAAGTTCACGGATGTGAATGACGCCACACGGCACCGAATTACCAACGAGCCAGTCAACGAACCGGTCGGCGTTCCTCTCTATTCCATGGGCGACGAACCTTTATCGCAGGTGGAACAGATTGAACTTGTTGATGGTCACACGGATGGGAACGATACCATGATGCAGGAGTTCGTTAGTGAGTTCATTGACCAGCCGGTTGGAGGATCCTTGCATTCCAATGCCGCCGTGCTATCATCTCAGGCTCAACAGCTTGAACCAACTGAGGACCACACGGATGGGAATGCCACCACATGTCAGAAAGACATCAACGAGCCAGTCAACGAACTGGTTGACGAGCCTCTTCATTTAAAGGGTGACGTGCCGTCATCACAGGTCGAACAGCTTACACCTGTTGATGGTCAAACGGATGCTGAGGATCCCACGTTGCAGGATATTTTCACTGAGGGGGTAGACCAACCGGTTAAAGAACTCCTGCGTTCGAAGGCCGCAGTGCTGCCGCCACAGGCTGAACAGTCAGAAAAAAATGGGAAACACACGGATGCAAAGGGCGGCGCACGGCAGGAAGACATTAGCGAGCCGGTCAAACAAGCGGATGCCAAACCCATTTATGCTAACACTGATGTACCGGCATCGCAGGCCGGACAACCAGAATCTACTGAGCTTCATGAGAATGTTAAGGATCCTATTTGGCAGGAGGCGTTCAAAGATCCCTTCCACCAGCCTATTGAAGAATCCGTGCACTTTAATGTAGAACTGCCGTCAACGCAGGCTGAACAGCTTGAACCAACTGAGAAACATGCGGGTGCAGATGACGGTACAAGGCAGGACAGTATCAAAGAAACAGTTAGTGAACTTGTTGACGAGCCTCTTCATTCCAAGGCCGGTGTGCAGTTATCGCACGCCGAGCAGCTTGCACTTGTTCATGGTCACACGGATGTTAATGATCCTGACGAACTCCTGAATTCTGACGGCGTCGTGCCGTCATTGCATGCTGAACAGCCTGAAAAGGTTGAGAAACACACGGATGCGACTGAGGCCTTATTGGAGGAAGTCATTAACTCGTCAGTCAGCGAACAACTCGGCGCAGCTGTTCATGCTGAGGCCGGCGTGCCGTTGTCGCAGGCCAAACATCTTAAACATGCTGAAGGTCACACGGATCAAATTGATCCCGTGTGGCACGAGGCTGTCAAAGAGGCTGTGGACGAGGCGATTGAAAAAACCCTCCATGATCATGCCGGCATGATGTCAATACAAGATGAAGAGCTTGAAGCAGTTGAGAAACACAACAACGTAAATGACGTCACAGGGCAAGAAACTGTCGCCAAGGTAGCCAATGAACTGGTCGCCGAACCCATTCATGCTACGGCCGATGTGACAGCATCGCAGGCCAAACAGGTAGAACCTGTTGAGGGTGGATGAGGGCGTAAAGGATGTTATGTGGCAGGAGGCTGTAAACGAGCCCGCAAACGACTCTATAGAAGAAGTTTTGCATTTTAATGCAGATCTATCGTCAACCCAGACTGAGCAGCATCGACCAGCTGAGAAACACGTCGATGGAAATGACACCACATGGAGGGAAGATCTCACTGATCCATTCAGTGAATTGAATAGCGAGCCTCTGGATGGCGATCCGTTGTTGCAGGAGGTTGCCAATGAGGTGGTCAACCAGCCGGCTGAAGAGCTCCTGCATTCTGAGGTCGTCGTGCTGACGTCACAGGCTGTACAGCCTGAAACAGTTGAGGAAGACACGGATGTGAGAGACAGTACAGGGAAAGAATCCGTCAACCGGTCGGTCGACGAACCAGGGCTTGCCAACGAACCTGCCCCACTGTCATTACGTGATGAGCACCTTGAACAAGCCATGAAACACACGGATGCCAATGATATCTTATGGCAGAACGGCACCAATCGTCCAGTCGATGAACCACTTTTTTCTCGTGAAAAACAACATTCTGATGAAGCACAAGCGTCACGTGGAGGTGAGCATGGACCAAAAGCCGTTCGCAGTCTGTTCCGCCTTGAGCATGACACAGACGGTAGTTCAAACCATTGTCAAAGCACAGACGAATCCAGAACCGAGCCACCCTCATTCGATGGAGAGCATATTGACATCGATGGCACGGTTCCCATGCACGATGAGCAAGATTGGACGGCTGGTCTGGCTACAGCCGGTGCAGAGCGTGACAGTTTTGATAGTTCAGTGCCATTGGCCGTCGGCGATAATTTGGTCACCGGATTTGAGCGGTTTGATGAAAATTATCCCGGAGTTGCTGAAGTTGCATTTCAAGAGCACAGCTCCAATTCACAAACTGAAATGAGCAGGGTGGCAATAGATGGCGCGGATAGCCAGCCCAAGCTTGATCACATTCCCTCAGTGAAGCATGTACTCACGATGAAAAGGGAATTTCGCATGAGCAGGTCGTCAATCCTGGAACTCACCCCATCGGAGATGATGAGTCCTCAGAGGATCTCAAGCTGTTGGCAGAGAGCGCACAGCATGGAACAGATGCAGGACACACCGATGCAAGGGACGAAAACGTGCTCGAAAATGTTCGGCGTGCAATGCTCCAAGCACGGTGCACAAATGATGAGAACACCGGTGATCATGCTCCGCAAGCCCCCGACGGTATGCTCACATCGATGGTGGACGTGCAGACCCATGCAGATGCTGCAAGCATGCACCAATCAAAGACTGAAGCACCTCTGGCCCAAGGGCAGGCAGAGAATGTGGACATTCTGATGCAGCACGTGCTCAGTGCCGGGTCCAATATCAAGCTGTCCTCATCCCAAGATCAAAGTACGAGTGCAAATGATCACATGTTACGAGAAATTTCCAGTGCACCAAGAGCCGAAGGGAACCAGGTGGGTTCTGAAAATGATCTAAAAACCGAAATGGAGCGGGTGGACTCTGAAAACATCTTTGTGGAGGGGGCAGCGTCGCAAGGACAGATCGACAACCTGTGCATGGACGCGGTGCTGCACTTTAACGAGCGCTCCGATGGTAATGGTGAAATCCCTCAGGAACACGTCCAGTTGCCAACGTCCGAGGAAGAACGCTTCGTTTCAAATCCCGTCGAGAATGAGGCTTTTTCCAAAGCAGATTCACCCCTGACCGCCGCGACGGAAGAAGTTAGCGATGACGGTAATACAGTATCGCAACCGTCAGTAGAAAGTGACCCACATGGGCTTCTTGACGTGTCTGCTGTCGACAAACACCAAAACGAGGGCCCGAATGCGGTCGACCTAGTCCAGCCTGCTCTTGCTGAAGGCGCAATATTTGCACTTTCTCCTCCAGAAGCTTCTCTAGCAGCGCAAGACAATCGTGATGACCGTGACCATGATGATAATAGCAACATCCCACAAGTCACACACAATTCAAGTATCAAACCAAATGAGCATGATGAATCGGAACCCATTTTCACTCAGCAGTTGGGCCTTTCACGCAAGGAAGGTTCTGATGAAGTTGGTGATGAAGTGCACGCTATGTATTCCGACGTTGTACGGAGCAGGGATCCTCGTGACGACGTTCTGAGCTCAGTCGGATCAAAAAGCGACAGTAAGAAAATCGTTGGGGTTCCGGACTTCCCAGAAATAGAGCAACAAACGCTGGAACAACACCGTTCAGCAGGAGCATTGCTTAGTTCCAGCTTCTCAGGTCCAAACGAAGATGATGCCCCGGTGCCGACCATGACATCCATGAACCAAGAGGCAGATAACAACCTGAACCAATACCCCGCTGCTCTCAGCCCAAAAGACGACCGAAATCAGTCGAATCCTGCAAAAGATGAGTCTTTGGATAACTTCCAGCACCCGACTGCCGCAGATGAATCCAAAAGTCAAAAGTCATACAGAGGTCAGCTGTTTGGGGAACCAGACAGGCATGAAGAGGTGCGTGTTCTTGACCGGCAAACAGCATCGCCCCGGCCATGGAACCCCGATGGTGTCGAAGCTCAGCAAGCTGATCTAACCAGCGCGTGTAACATGACACCCCCGTTCCGCGATGATGACTACTACGAGGAGTTTAGACGAAGGGAAGAGGATCTGCTGTCATCTCAAGGGAGGGCCCGCAGTGAAGAGAGGGGCCTTCCAGTTCAGAATTCGACTTTTGCCGAGGATTACAGTCCCTTCTCAGCCGAAGACTGCGACTTCACGGAAACCATCCACGACGCTGATGTGTCGACAATGTATGTTAGTCCTCGCACGGAGTCAGCTGTCTTCGGGACACCTCCGAAGGAAGTGCCGTCCCATCCACCAGAGGTCGCGCGGGTCAGCTCACCAGTGGATGTTGAACCAACTCGACGCAAACGCAGCCCATCCGAGCACGGCAGTCCAGGTATGTTCAGTCCCTGTGCGCATCTTACTATGCGAATGTACATTGGTGAAGAGAGCAAACTAATGATGCGTTAACATCAGGCATGTCACTAAGTATGGTCGGCTGAAGACTGGAACTTCAAAACATGATCTCTTTCGAGTCCTTGAGCCGTAATATATATATATATATATATATATATATATATATATATATACATTCATTTAATTCAGCAATATCAATCAACCAAAGACCGAGCTTTTCCGCCTCGTCCAACTCAATTTCTAGGGGCCTAGACTTGGACTAGTAACGCTTCTATGAAGCGAACTATGACTCAGAGTTCATGGTTTTAGGGATCCGGAACTCATATCAAGCTTTGAGTGAATTTCAGTTTCCAACCACCCCTGGACGGCACATTTTGATGACGAAAGGCATGCTGTAAAAAGAACAGCATAAGTTTGGTGCAGAGCATATGGGCATGCACTGACATATGCACTGCGCTGCGTGGGTTTGGATGGGTGGGGCGTGTTCCTGCTGTCTTCCCTCGCGTTTTGGGATTTATAGCATGTCATCACTCGGCCTATGTTACGTAAAACTGCGCACTTGTTACAAGGATTTAGTTAAGACCTTAGCTTACGCCTCTGGGTGGAGGTTCAGCGCCGACTTGACATGACCTCAGATAAGGGCTACTTAGTCTCTAAGTAGGCCAAGTTGACTTAGGTGCTAGATAACACCCGGCTATGATTGATATTCCTAATTCTGACCATATCTGCCCTTGACATGTTGACTTTAATTTTTCTTTATTCAGTTCCATTAACCGTCAAAAGGGAACGTAGGAACTTGACTAAGGATTGCAGGACTCAGACATAGACGTAAACTCGAATTCAAGCTTGCCACCAGTCTCGAGTGACTTGGTCTGGGAATTGGACTTCAGACATTGTGGTGTTACTCGAAATCTGACACAGGTTTTGTACTTGGGACTCACGCCTGGCCGAAGTGATCGATGTAGCGTCTTCTACAGTTCAGCTAGTTTCTTATGCCCACAACCTGCATTTACGTCATCTTATCCTCTGAACCAACTTAACCGTCCGAGTCCACCAATACAAGTATAACGCCATGCCAGCCACACAGGCACCAGGCACGCAGACACCAGCCACCTGGTCCGGCTCCCAGATCAGAATGACCGCGTGGTAGGCGCACGACCTCGTCGTGACCTGTTATTCTGGAACCCTCGGCCGACCGCACTTCCGGCTACGTGACCTCCGCTGACCAGCCGACAGCCGCATGAGGACCTCAACCTTAATGGCGATGCCGACTTATCGTAGCAGCCTCCCAGCAGACCCAACATGAGACCCAACACTACAATCGATGGCGACATCGGTCCATCAGTGCATTCATACTGACTCTGCTCGTGACGACTAACTGTGACCGTACCACGATCATCCTGCATGGATACTAGTTCAGGCTGGTCACTCCATCTCCTGATATTCCTCTCAAAGGATTCAACATTACACGATTCGTCTTTTCTTGTCTTCACCCCCGAAAACGCTGTATTATTGCTGTCATAGGGCTTCACCTGGCATTTCCCGGGCCATCCCCAGACGATCGCCAGGACCTCGTCTCGCTGGCCTCCGATGTCGGCAGCCACGAGTTCAGCATGGCCAGGAACCAGCCGACGCCTGTCACTCTGGCGGCGGACAGCGATCGAGCATCTGACAGCCTGGAGAGCCGACCGGGTGTGTTGTGTGATTCTACCTACGGTTGCAGTTGGCTTCCTCCTGATTCATTGGCTTCATAATTGTACCTTCTGTCGGCGACTGATTTAGCGTACAATCAGATGGGAATCAATTTGAAGCCTACAGGATGTTCCCAGAATATCTCCCGCACGATGTCAAGTTTCCGTAGCGATGTCAAGCGGTATGCAGCTGTAGAGAAATGAATGGGCAATCGTTTGATACTATAGTTAGATAGACCTCTTAAAGCTGCTAACCTGTAGCAGGTCACTGCTACAGGCTGGTGACCTGCGAGTGACCTCATATGCTAGCAGGTCAACTTCAGGTACTTGCTGTCGGTTGGGACAATACTCCAGGGTGTTGCAACAACGGAGTGTTTCATGGGGTCATACGTCTTTGAGATGTTTTTGGAGACAATCAGACTATTGAAACTAGGAAAAGAATAGTGCTTCTGACCGTGGGACAAAAGGCGAAGGTCAGATCAACGTCAAAATCGAACAGTTTTTCCTTGAAAACTTATTTCGTATTGGTTTTGAGGTCCAATTCAAATTCAGTTATATAATCCTCAATTTCTTCACAACTGCCCCGATGATGATTGCAATTCATTGATCACGGAAATGCAGTTATTTTGAATAATCATACCTAAAAACTGATCGTAAATTGACTTTTGATCTAATTGGCTTTGAACAACGCTTGCAATTCAAGGACTATGTCCCTTTTGGCAGTCTTGATGCCGATTTCAAATTCAACTATCAAAATGGTCTCGAGGGTTTTCAACAGAATCTTGAACTTCTATGTGTCAAATGAGACCACAAACCTGCTACAACCGAATAGCATTTTCCGTAGAAAACTTGTCTAGTTATAGGTGTTTGGGATCCCCTTGCTTGAACTTGTTTGACCTGAAGGTCAAGCCCTAACATTTAGACGCAAATGAGTTGACACATAGCGGTACCAGCTCTCAGAACATCTCGCCCCCTAGCTGCCTTAGTTTTTTAAATATTTTAATATTTTTGATATTTCAATAGCTTAATATTTTAAATACGTCAAATATAAGTTATAAATTTCATATCCAATTAATATCTTAATCTTTTAATATTTTTAGGATTTCAAATATTTTTGATATCTCAATTATATTATTATAATATCTTGATCCACCGTGCGGACCGCAGGGACTGAATCCCGTGCGGACGTATTCTGTGGGTACAGTTCCTGCAGCACATGATCCACACATACGGCACACACTGAAAGAATGGTCCTGTCTCAAGGTAGGGAACTTTATTCAGCTGCGGCAGTGGGTGCGGTCAAACTGACATGTTTCCTTTCATTTCCAGACCATTATGATTTACAGCCCGGCGTTGATGTTGGTGAATGTCGGGAAGCAACCGAGCAGGATGTCTGGCGAACGTGCATGGTTGCTGGCAAGGAACAGAGGATTGATATGAACGCAATCGAACCGTACACAAAGGTACTGATTGACTATGATGAACTGTCATTGTTTCTTAGTGGTATTTTGTTCGCTAATACATGCAACCCTAACGGCTGTTGGTGGAAAAAAATTACACACGTCTTCCACCTCTGTCCGCGCTTGTGGGACTTCTTTCCACATTGTTGCAAGTGTTATTAAGTGTTGCTCTCCACTCATTATGCATACGAGCTAATGCAGACTTCGATGCTGTTTTGCGTACCTGTACGTGTAACTAAGAAAACTGGACAAGGTTTGCTTATATTGTTTGGATTACAGCAATTTTTGGTCAGTCATGACAATTTCCGGGCTGTAGAACGAAGAAAAGTAGATGACGACGGCGAAAAACTACATGTGCCTGGGCCCCCATCCTTCGAGCTCGATGCCGAGACTCAGCCCGCTCAGGGACAATTATTCGGGGTTTGTGCTCGATGCTCGGACGGGTCCCACCAGTCGGTACTTCGGCCCCCTCATGGCAGTCGCATGCAGCCTGCTCTGGACAAGCTGGGTGTCGCGATGATGCAGGATAAATTGAGGAAGAGGATAAAAGGACGGATGAAAATTGGATGCACGGTGTTGTTTTATTGTATTTGCGGAATCTCCGTTGGATGGCGTGAGGTCAGGAAGTCGAACAGTGACCTGACACGTGTCGTCTCTGCCGACCGGTGCGCCCGCCTGCGCCGGGCGACGTTCGGTCTGTCCGCTGCCGGGCAGGTGTGCTGCCCGTCACTGCTGCCCGTCACTGACCTGCCCGCTGCCTCAGGTGCTGTCACAAGGAGGGTACGTGGACGGCGACGCCGGCCAGCCCATCATCGTATTCGCCTGCTGCCACCTGCCGGACAGGGCCCGAGCCGACTACACCTACATCATGGACAACCTCTTCCTGTGAGTGTAGCATCCCATGCCGTGCTGCTGCCTCCTGCCTCTCCTCGGAGGCGGTGTTCAGTGCACGCTCAGGTTGCCGACCCCTGTCCGAGCGGGCGGCTGACCGGCGCACGCCTAGGTTATCCACGAGGCCACAGGTCAGAGGCGAGGAGGGTGGTGTGCTGACCGACGGCCGCAGTCACCCGTCACGTATGCCATTCTTTCCCAATTTAACATGACGGATCGCTGCAGATTTGTTGGTGTCTTTGTAGGCATTGTCTTCGGTGAAATGGATCCGAGGTTGGTCTCGTTTTAACGGCTCCACCAAATGTTCGTATAAGGAGGGGGCATTGGGCAGTGGTGAGTAGCATAGGTAAGCCACTGGAAAGACAAGAAGCCGCATTGATCAACAATAAGATGACTTGCAGTTGCAAGCTCAAGATGTAACTGGTGAAGGCATGCGTACAGGAACAGTGAAAGCCAGGTGGGCTGCTACCTGTCTCTAGGCATTCTTATCTGTTACGTAAGTTGTTCAGTGCATTAGCGAAAAACATTATTCGCATAGCTAAGACAGTAGTATAAGCCTTATTTCTCGAAGAAAAAAAAACAGGAGAATGGGGATATAGTTGAGTTGATATGTCAGCAACATGTCTTTATCGAAACAATAGCAGAAGTATATTTACTTCTTTAATGTGGTCTTTAATATTTACTTCCGCTATTGTTTCGACAAAGGCATGCTACCGAAAGATCGACCCAATTATATCCCCATTCTCCTGTTTTTTTTTCTCGGAGGAACAAGGTTAATACTACTGTCTTACTTTCATCTGTTGTTACGGCTTAACAAACTTCACCTATCACCGTTTCAATAACCGTGATAACACATGAGAAGAATGGCCCAACGAATTCCTTTCGGTCATTAACGTTTCGTGATGTTTCGATTAACGTCCTGGTGGAGGCGCACCTCCGAGTGGACTCATAATAACCGGTGGATTTAAGGATGGCCGACGGATACTTTATCTGTGTAATTTAAAAGGTAACAGCGCACGCAATTAGCAAGTATGAATGTAACAGATAACGCTACACCTGAGGCGTATTTCAGCGAGAGCGTCAAACCACACTAAAACACACGACACCTACCTGTACCTTCTTGGTTGTGACAGTCGCAGTGCAACCTGATGTAAATTGATAATGCGGGAAGAAGAATGAGGGTGAGGAGACGATGAGTGCGGGGATGTGAGTGATGTATGAGGGCGCAGTATGCAAAAATGATTTGGACTTTGACCGCGCCTGCTTGTGGGTGGCACGTCGGAAGTGGACAATGGCCCACCGGGTGTTTGTTCCAAGAGTGATGTCGGGCGTTTGTTCCCGGTGTGATGTCGGGTGTTTGTTGCCGGTGTGATGTCGGGCGTTTGTTCCCGGTGTAATGTCGGGTGTTTGTTGCCGGTGTGATGTCGGGCGTTTGTTCCCGGTGTGATGTCGGGCGTTTGTTCCCGGTGTGATGTCGGGCGTTTGTTCCCGGTGTGATGTCGGGTGTTTGTTGCCGGTGTGATGTCGGGCGTTTGTTCCCGGTGTGATGCCGGGCGTTTGTTCCCGGTGTGATGTCGGGTGTTTGTTCCCGGTGTGATGTCGGGCGTTTGTTCCCGGTGTGATGTCGGGCGTTTGTTCCCGGTGTGATGTCGGGTGTTTGTCCCCGGTGTGATGTCGGGCGTTTGTTCCCGGTGTGATGTCGGGTGTTTGTTGCCGGTGTGATGTCGGGCGTTTGTTGCCGGTGTGATGTCGGGCGTTTGTTCCCGGTGTGATGTCGGGTGTTTGTTCCCGGTGTGATGTCGGGCGTTTGTTCCCGGTGTGATGTCGGGCGTTTGTTCCCGGTGTGATGTCGGGCGTTTGTTCCCGGTGTGATGTCGGGCGTTTGTTCCCGGTGTGATGTCGGGCGTTTGTTCCCGGTGTGATGTCGGGTGTTTGTTGCCGATGTGGTGTTCCATCCGGATCGTCGTAGCATGGAGCTGCGCAGTCTGTTCGATGGTGTCCCCTGACGGCAACATAGACTACGAGAGCCCCGAAACGCCAAGCTGTGGAACTATTGTTAACGTCATTGATAATGGGAATCTTTTTCTCCGGCACTTAAAATATGCGTTATAAACAGACGCACTAAGGAGAGTGGAAGGCTTAAGCACAGTGTGGCCCGGCGCGTAGCGCAGCTCGGCATGTGACTCTGATCAAGAGTCGACAGCAGGCCGGTGATGCTGGTTCTGCCCGGCTGCAGGTACGTGCTGGCCACGCTAGATGAGCTGGTCTCAGACAACTACGTGCTGGTCTACCTGCACGGCGCCACCGACAGCGGCCGCGCACCACCCTTCGGCTGGCTGCGGCGCTGCTACCAGCTGATCGACCGCCGCCTGCGGAAGAACCTGCAGTGCCTGTACCTGGTGCACCCCACCTTCTGGCTGCGCACGGTGGTGGCACTGACGCGACCCTTCGTTAGGTGAGGACGCCCACGGCAGACACTCTGCCTTGGACTTCTGAGCTGGGGGAATCTGGTGCTCACTGCAGCATTGCTTCAGGTATCGGTTGTCCTGTAAGATGCACACGTTATATGGTGTCTGGAGAATTTCAGCCGGTCTCGTGATACCCACTGCCGCCCCAATGCACAGATACATGTAAGGGCCTCTGGAGACAGTTGCTTTTGTTTTGTTTTGTTTGTTTTTGTTCCGGTAGACTTTCTGCCCTCGATCCGTTGGTGGGACTCCGTGATGGTCTGCTGGTCTGCTCCACGGTCTGCTGCTGGTCCAGCAGAGTTTTTCAAAGGCCACCGTCGGTTCTATATAGGTCCATATTGCTCTTTAGTGGACAGAAGCCACCTGGAGACGCTTCCCAACCAGTTTGGATGAAATTTTGGCGGTTGGTTAATGGCTAAAAAGTAATTCATTCAACCAGGAAGCATTATACGTTGTCAACAGTCAAACACCACATGCCTATATATATATATATATATATATATATATATATATATATATATACCACATGTAAACCTGCATTTGCTGTAAATATTTAATATCACCACTAGTGAAGCACTAGTGACCAAGTGCTTTAAGACCAAGTGAACTACCAATGTGACCGATATGCTGACACAATATGTACCGAGTCAATGCGACGCATTGTTCCGATCAGACCAGAATGTTGATGACGCCTACCCATCTCATTGCGATCAGGATCAGATCAGTTCGACCAGACCCGCCTGCCCAACTCTTTTATTGCCCGCAGCTCTAAGTTCAGCCGCAAGCTGCGTTACGTGAGTGGTCTGAGAGAACTCAGCGACATGATCCCGATGAACCACGTGGTCATACCGGACAAAGTCAAACAGTGAGTACCCGGCCGCGGTTCGCCTTCTGTGGGTGGTGACGCACGCCTGGTATAGCACAGGTGTTCCTTCTCCCTTTTTCATATTGTTTTCGCTAACACACAAGTGACACACAACAACACCCAAATTTGTGACATTTCCTCCCCGCATCGTGGGCGCTGCCTCGCCCTGTAGCGCGCCAAAACCGTGGCAGGGTGGCTCAGACAGCCGGCTGGAGCAGGGTCCGCCGGATGGCCGGCGGGCGTCCTCACCGGTATCAGTTCAGCTTCGGGCAGCACTAGCCGAGTCGGCCGGATGGCCGGTCGGCGTCTACACCGGCATCAGGGAGGCCGATTGCCGGTCGGCCGTCTACACCGCATCATTCAGCTTCGTGCAGGCATAGCCGAGTCCGCCGGATGGCCGGTCGACGTCTACACCGGCATCAGTTCAGCTTTGGGCAGCACTAGCCGAGTCCGCCGGATGGCCGGTCGGCTTCTACACCGGCATGAGTTCAGTTTCGGGCAGCACGAGCATCGCCTCATGCACGATGAACTCATGCTATTATCGCTCACGCATGTTCTCAACGGTTACACATACGTTATAGTAAGAGTATTCAAGCGCATGCAAGCATGGTCGCAGGCATATAGTAGCCCAACGAGCATGTGCCTCTCGTTACCAAATTCATGATGTGGTATCAAAACGATTTGACCAGACGTCAACAAGAAAAACGCCTTTCGGTAAACGCAAAACAAAAGGGTAGCCTGCACATGCGATTTTTATGCTGAGCAATGTATTTCACGTGCCTGCAGTGCACTAAGCCTGGCTTTCAGTGATTTTTGTTGAGTTGTTCCGCAGCTACTCACCTCTATTGCGAAACCCTCCATACACCCCTGCATAGGATTGCGAACCAACACACAGACTGCTTACATTGCTTTCAGCACAACCTCGTCCTGGCATTGTCAGCCTCCTGTCCTGGAACTGCCAGCCCCCTGTCGTGGAGCTGTCAGGCTCCGCCATCACTACCTCTTAAAAGAGGAATTAATTCATCAGATGACTCGATCGTGCCGAATAAGACCATACTGTACAGTGATTTCATTTGCAATATGCAATATATGTTTGGTATTTGTCTCTTTTTATGTTTGTGTTTTTATGTTACGGATAGTGTTTTACCTAATTTGTATTCCATGTAACGCGGCTGGGATCAAATGTCCAATTCACGTGATACAGTGATTCCTTAATCTCCTCCTACGAGCGGCCTTAACTATTTTATTATGGTACGGTTTTTTTAAAAATGTATAAAAGATCTTAATTCACATCACGGCGCGCACTGATTCATTGCCTGTATTTACCACCAACTTATTCGTCGCTGTGTGCGGTACTCCCTCCGTACACAAGCCTTACCTAAAGGTCGCAATTCCATATTTTTGCTACGCCAAAATGCCCCCGGTTGATCGCTCGGTCGCCGGCGGTGAGTATTTCAAGAACAACGAGACGTGCTCGCGCCGTATGTTGCCGGCGTCCGGCAGCCGACATCCATTCATTCATTCGTTGTGGCGAGAAAAGTGAGCCATGATGAAGTACGCTCTCCGAACTCCTTGGTTTGAGAAATTGCCAGAGGAGCCACACACATCAAGTAAAGAATAGTTAGCAACGGGTACCATAAGAGGATCCACCAAATGCAGCAAGATATTAGCGGAGCTCACTGCTATGGCAACAGCACTGTCAGTTTCGTGGGGTGTGTTTAAGTCCCTTACCAGACCGACAACACAGAAGCATTGTAGCAGCACTGACAGGTGGCGGTCCCTGGTAGTCAGCACAGTACACACGGTTCACGTCCCGCATCCCGGCAGTCAGATGTCGGGTCGGCCAGTGAATCCCGTGAATGGTGCTGAATGCAGCCCGAAATAATGCAAACACAATGCATCCATAGATGCTTTGTGGCTTAGCCGAACAAACGCGCAAGGACCTGTTTCACCAAATGGTGGAATACTTACTTTTCAATTTATTCATGCGTATGGCTTAAAATTACTTCTCAACGCTGCTTGATCTCGGAAAACGTTTTTGACCGTGGACCGATATGTCTTAGTAATTCGCGCGTTAACGGTAATTCGGACAAAACACGACTGAAATTTGTAGAAACTGTTTCGAACTGCAGCCATTTCTCTGGAACTTGTAACGACTTGGAGTAGCGTTTGGTGATAAATGACATTTGTGGTAGTTTGTGCATTTCCACAAAGTCTTTATGCTGATAACGATGGTCGTAGATGGCAGCTCCCTACTACGGTTGGGCTGAAGAAGTCCTTTAAATGTCTCCTCGCGGCCTCCTTCTCGATCACGACCCATGGATGGTGGGAAGAACGGCTTTAAGTTTTCTGCCTGTTCCGTCACGGAACATCACGCGGTAAAAGTAAGGCAACTCAAAACTGGGTAACGCGCTCCGGGCCGTTTAACACAGGGCGGTGAACACCAAATATGACAGCTGAACAAAATCCTATCATTGGAACCAGAGAGCTTTTTTTAATTTGTCACCCGTGCAAGTCTATGCTAAGATTCAAGACTTCATTGGCATTAAATCTACATGCAACAATTTGAGCTTCAAAACATCCGGCGGCAACGATTAACTATGGAACTATCGTCGAGTTGGTAGTGACCTGGCAACAATGGTAGCAAATAGGAGCTGTTGGCCTAGCGCACACAAAAATGTCGTTACCATGGCAACGGTGTGGGGAGGTTTGTTCACTTTCGTGTTGATAAATTGGCCAATGTGCTGATGGAATGTTACAAAGTAACAAGCGTAGAATCTGTTTGGCATTATCAATTCTGTATGAGCGTATTGCTAAAACTACCCTGAAGCGTCTGAAACGCTTCGAAATTTCGGAAGCTGAAGACTTATTCAAGCTAATGCTCGAATCGTTATTTTCGGGTGACTACTTCATTTTTTTAGATGGGGACGCCTGTCAAATCCTGCATGCGCCAAAACTATCTGTCAGCATGTCAATACATACAACATATGTCAATACAAATTTACATATATTTTTTTCATAATTCAGCAGGTGAAGTGGAACTGGTCATGACAGGGTTGTTTTACTTTCTTAGTGGAAGACATCCAAACGACATGACCGATCATGGTGGCGCGTAACTCCGCTCGGACTGCGGTGGTGAATTCCCTCCTAATGTTTGGGACTGTCCACCAGCCCATTCAGGCGTCCGTAATGCAATGGTGGCTGGTGAAGGTGCAAACCTTTCCACGTCACCCGCCAATTCAAACTTACTGCTATGACAGGTCACTGTTCCTTGACCGCTACCTGCTCTGACTGCTCATGACCTTGTTCTTTAAGTTCAGTAAAACCAACGCATGGATGATACATGTGAAAAACATGTCAGTCTTCTTTGCAACACATATCTTTTTACTAGCAGGTTTGAAGATGTCAAGCAGTCCTGTGCTTAACACTATTTAAGTCAAATATATTCTGAAACGGAATTCAAAATGAATCCCACATGAGGTCAAGCCTCTCAGTCGACCTTAAATTAGCCAACCACGGCCTCGCATCGCTACTTATAACCGGTGCAGGGTCGTTCAGGGTCAAGAGTATGTCAGGTAGTTTAAAATACCGTAAAAAGTAATACGTTGGCAATTTTTGCTGTATATAGACATCATCGTCATATATCCCGATTTCATGAGCACTACAATGCAGTACTGCACTGTAGTGCACCGCAATACTAAGGTCACGAAATGCTATAATGTGACTTTATCTTACGCCGCAGAAGTAAATAGTGGCAGGTTTTTTACTCAGCCAGGCTCACACGGAGGGTATTGAATATCTACGACGAGAGACATTTCATTGCTTGATTCGCGCCGTATGCTAACCGTATGAGAGAACTCAAAATGACCGTACAAGAGCTGCGAACCACGTACCACCACAATTTTCGTCCATGTTTGTTTGCCCTAATGCATGAAAAATGGATTTCGGAGGTGTCGTATCAACTAGCAAGCGCTTCGCGAGGTGACGATATCGACAAGACTCACAAGAGTTGATTTTCCATGCCTGCTTTTCATATTAAGTGACCTTAAGCAGCCGAGTAATGAAAATGTGGCCCGCAATGACAAGTTACGCGTGCTGTTGTCTTCTGTCGGGCGGCAGAAACCATGGCCCAATTCGGGAAATGCTGTCCACTAACTGGCGTTTCTTTGTCATTTCAGACTGGAGTTCCAGCTGATGATCGCTGAGCGGAAGAGAGAGCTCCGAATAAAATAGACCTCTGTTGGTGATGCTTTCCCCTGTTCAGGCAGCCTTTTCACCGTCCATGTTCGTTGATAGAACGACCTTGCGTTGGCTGAGCAGAACAACGTCCCAGCCCGCTCGCTGAAGACGCAGGCTGAGGCGCGCCAGCCTGAAGACTTCTGGAGCCCGCCGATCCGTGGCTATGGCGTCCGTTTGGAGGTGCGACCAGGTGCTGCGGCGTTCACCATAACTCATCTTTCCCCCGAGTCCAAACCTTTGCTGTATAGTGAGATTGGCGTATGCTATTATGATGAAGAGTTGGTGGGTATTGCTGGCTACGGTTCATGGTTGCTATCGACACAGCCACTCCACTCTGCTCGCGGCGCGGCAGAGTCGTTCTCCGTGAAGGGCCGTGTATGGGTCGCGCGCGAGGGGCTGTCTGAGGGTCGAACGCGCAAGCGGCTGTGAGCGGTGAATGGAGTGCCGCGGGACGGCCTTGCACTCCCATTGACTGTTGAACGGCGTGCTGAGCGATGATGAAAAATGGCCCGGCTGGATCACCGTGTACGCCGAGTCATCCGGAGGACACAGACCGACGCGAGCTATTGCGCTGGGTTCGTCTACAACGCCTCTGACTGCTGTGACCACTGGCGTGTCGCCTCGCGAGGCATGGGGCCCAGGTCTCGCGGCGTCGCTGATGCGGGCACTCCGACTAGACCGGAAATGCGGTGGGGCTGTGATTGACGTCATTCGTGGTGTGAGATATGTCGGTCGGGTGTGCTGGTGCGGTGCTGTAGGCGTGAAAGACTCACGGTATAAGGCATACAATACGCATCAGTCACATCGTTTTCCTCAGTAACAGCAATGCCCCGTTAAGACTCGAGTCGTGTGAGCGGCATTAGTGAGTTAGATGGAATGCATGTTTTAAGATCTTGAAGCAAGCATCAGATACGGTGAAACGAGCTCACTTTACAAGTATACGTATGTTCTTAAATTGACAAGACTGCTCTAGACAGCACAATTTTCTATTCAGTCAATATGCTTATCAATACGTCATTGTTTGATTGCGTCACTATACCTTGCGTAACATTGATTCGGAGCCGATCAACCGCCGTTATACCTGCATGGTGCTTAGCAACGCCAAATATCAACGATTTGACCACTGTATTTTTCCTGGCCTCGATTTTGCCGCACGACAAATGGAATAGCAGCATTTGTATGGCGTTATTATGGTGTCCCGGATGCCTGGGTGATCTTGAGATAGTCTGCACATCTTTGCGGGTGTATAGCTCAGAAACTAGAGCGGTTTATGTCTTCAGATGGGCGGGGCTGTGAACAGCACCGAATGATCTTCAGGATGGCTATTTCAGTTCAAAACTCTATACAAATGTGGAACACTCCCTTTCAAGACACTCGCTTGCAACCGCGGACGTAAGTAGTGACAACTTGTGAAAGCACGGGTCCAGAGATAGTGTGGTGTGTGTGTGTTGGGTGTGTGGTTGTGTGTGTGTGGTTGTGTGGGGTGGTGGGGTGTTGTGTGTGGGTGTGTGGGTGTGTGGGTGTGGTGGTGTGTGGTGTGTGTGTGTGTGTGTGTGTGTGTGGGTGTGTGGGTGTGTGGGTGTGGGTGATGTGTGTGTGTGTGTGTGTGTGTGTGTGTGTGTGTGTGTGTGGTGTGTGTTGTGTGTGTGTGTGTGTGTGTGTGTGTGTGTGTGTGTGTGTGTGTGTGTGTGTGTGTGTGGTGTGTGTGGTGTGTTTGTGTGTTTGTGTGTGTGTGTGTGTGTGTGTTTGTGTGTGTGTGTGTGTGTGTGTGTGTGTGGTGTGTGTGTGTGTGTGTGTGTGTGGTGTGGTGTGTGTGTGTTGTGTGTGTGAGAGGAGAGAGAGAGAGAGGGGAGGGAGGGATATATATATATATTTATAGTATATATATATATATATAATGCATATATAATATTTTTCTATACATATATAGTATAATTCGTTTCATATATATATATATATATATATATATATATTATATATATATATATATGTACATGCAATTTAAGACGTTTGAATAGCCCTTGTAATACTCTTGAATGCCAGCAATGCAACCTGGTGAATAAGGGGGCATGGAAAGCTTTTCATAGCACTTAACATAACATAAAGCATTTCAGTGGATAAAAATTCCCGTAAATGTTTGGTCGGAGCTGTAGGCACTCGCATGTGAAATGTTATGCATGCATGGCTAGTAGAGTAGTGCAGTGGATGTCAAGGAAGGTAAGCTTTTATCATAGACTGCAGATCTGATTTGACTATTCGAAATGCACGTCACGTGTTGATCTTCCCAGCACACGACCAATATTTAGGGTAGTGTCTTAACTTTGGGGCAAAGTTTTAAGAGCATATTTTGGCAAAACCTCAGGACCAGTTGCGTCTCATAAAACTACGCAATCAGTATGCAATAAGAATATTTTCGAGTCCAGATTACGCTGTTAGTATTTTGTTACGAACACTGCACTTCCTTTTTTCTTGGTAGCCCCAAAGTGTTACCCTATTCCGTGACATCTGCAATCGTCGCAAATGCCGTCGTTATGACGACGGTAGAATCTACTGCCGGCCGTCATCAGCTGTTACGACATAGAGGTGCCCCTTTTGAGCTGTTTGCCCCGCGCATTGCGGGTCTGCAGGCTTAAGAGTTGCACATCTTATGGTATCAATGACGTCAGCAAAAATGCACATTTGTGACTGGCACAGGGGGTGGCGAAGGTAATTTACCGTGAAGCGCATGGGCTGAAATTTGGAACAGTGCGCTGCTATAGACCATGCGATACTCCGTTTCCCCAAGGTCAAAGTACGTTTCGAACAGTTTCTGTGTTGAACGCCAAAAGCGAGATACCAAAGCCGTAGCATAACGTTCCGTTGAGTTCGCGTGATGATTGCTTCGTGCTCGCATGTCCTGTTCCCTAAATAAGTGTTTCAAGCTTTCGCAAAATTTATTACACAAGCATTTTGTTGAACATGTGTATTGCAAAACAACACACGTTGAGAAAGGCACGACAAATGAAAGTATTACTTTCATACTGGTGAGCAATGAGTTGAATGAGACATCTCTCTTCGAAGTGGTTACTTATCTAGCTTCTCAGCTATTCAGAAGAATTTCTAGAAAGCCGATCTTACTGATCAATAAAATACAAAAGGGTGTCATGCTCCTATTGTGCTCCGAATGATGCTCATATTTCATACATATCCCGTTACAAACAGGTTTCCCGTAAAAAATTACAAGTCATGTTTTCATTGTCAGTGCGCTGACCAGAAATGGTTAGGCATATATGTAAATAATATTAAGCGTCGTGGACGTTTGCATACTATAACCATGATTGTGTCTGTTGAGACACTACCAGTAAGTAAATCGTGAAACTAAGCGTGGTTCTTGATATCCCGCCAGTCCAGTGGTGCATATGTTATGCTCCGGCCCCGAGAACAGCCACGGCAACCAGTCGTTTAAAGCGGCGACACCGCAATGGAGCAAACCCCTGATTGTCAGGCCCCAATGCGATGGGGCAAACCCGCGATTATCAGGCCCCGATGTGATGTCACGCTTCATCCTGCGATCGTTTTGAAACAGCCACATCGCGCTCTGGAAATTTACAAAAAGCCGAACGGCGATGTACACCTCTCCGGGATGTGGTCGAGTTTCAAACGAGCACATTGCGATGTGGCAAATCGTGACCGGCGACATCGCACTTACGTCATTACACACCATGCTCACGATCCGACGCGCCGAGGCGTATTTTCTCAAAGATGTGTTTGCCTGCACAACTGCCTCACTGCTCATTCTGCTAAAAACAAAAAGCAGTAACCAGAATTGACATTGGTTTGACAAAATAGTGTAAATCCTCCTAAAATAGTATAAATCTTTGTCGGAGTGTAGCTCAGAAACCAGAGGGGGTTTCATCTTAAGACAGGGCGGGGTTGTAAACTTAAGGCGAAATGAAGTTTCATTATTGGACCACCTGCAACGATAAGGGATCTTGCTGCGTCAATGAGGGCTACTGCACCTATCTCGGGCAACGCGCCGGGGTCAGAGGGCCCCTGTGTCTCAGAACACCAGCCGGTAGCCACCCCACACTGGGGTGGAATGGACCTTCAACCCTTAGCCGGGGACGATATGCCCCTTAGTGTTCCACCTACTGGTTCTTGGCCTGGAAAAAGGTAAGAGGCCATAGTAATTTCCAACAAAGTGGATCGAATTGCGGTCAACCATGAAGAGAAGCTCAACCCATCAATGTCAACCCGTTGGCAGTGTTAACGTAAAAAGCAACATTATGAAGCTTTGAGTCGGCGCTCTAGTAACCTTGGGGGCCAGAGCAGCTATCGCCGGGGTTGTCCGAAAAACCGGACGATGTTGGTCACTTCATATGCCACCAGGCGGCGCGCCCGGCGCACGAGAGTGCCGTCGTGAAATAATGTTCCGAATGTTCCTCAAAATCAATTTGTACTGTTCAACTACTACTGCAACTGGGGGAGGGGGATATATTTAACATTTAACATTTTGGGACTGCCTTCTGAACGGATCAACAGTTACAGCCAGACGAAAATAAAGATCGTCTACTGTTCAAGTTCCACCACCAGAATCCAGCACCACTTAATGGTGCTGTGAACACTAATCCGTTCCTGTTGCCAATCAAAAAGTCGCACGGGTGAAATATCCACGAGGACTGCATTTTAAACGTACGAATGATGTCCTGCAGTGTTCAAAGGTACTCCTTTCAGATACGTCATCACTTTCGTTCACCCGTTGGCCGCCCCACAGGCTGCCACGGGAAAACGCTACGGTTTATGAACACTGCAACGCCGGGTGTCGTGGTTTTTGTTTCAGACTTGCGGGCGCGCATGTTCAAACCAATGTCGCAAAATTTTGTCACTAATCGATTCTGGCTGAATGCTGAACATTCGCAGACAGAAAGCCAATCCGTAACCACATTTCGATCAACTCAACCACCACGGGATCCTTAATAGCTCTGTAGAACCCACAACAAAGTTTGACATAGCCTCTGAGTTCTTTCGGTCTGGAAAGAGTCCACTCAACTATTGTAAAATGAATGGCGCCACCGGGTTGTTCCGCGCAGCCATTAAGTCCGCCTCCTTCAGATTGTTGAATTCAGCAAATAGAAATGCCTTTTAATGTCGCTTCTTTGACTTACGTTCCATTCAAAATAAAGATAACACGAAGACAATCGTGCGGTTCCCTCTCACCAATAGGGGCCCTTCGTCAGTTCTTTCTTGCAAAACAAGGCTCTGGCTGCGCTCCTGGGGTAGGGATTCGTTACAAACGACCGCATCACCATGTTTCAAAATACGACCCACAATGTTGCGATGCAATTGTTGGAGAGCCGGCCATACCTAAAAAGATACTTTCATTAATTTTTAACACTTCGGGAATTGCTAGATCACCGTATAGCGTTTCGAAACGGTCGGAGCCCGAAATATGACGCCAAGCCGAAGCTTGAGAATTGAGCTTTCCCACACCGCACTGTGATCGTTTGAGAGCAGACCATAGCCGAAAAGAGCTCTAAATTGTGTGGGATTTCTGGAAATTGCTAATCACGATATGGGTGTCTCAAAACGGTTACAAGTACAAGCATTAAGCCACGTGGGGGCGGGGAGGGGTGGCTCGGAGTTTCGAAGCGATGGCGGAAAATTCAGCGGCCAGATGTAAAAGCGTTACACAAACGTCACATGCTTCCTTTGAAAAGTGGCGAAATTATTGATCCTAGAGCATGGAGGTGGTCCGTGCCAGAGCAAACGGAAAGATGATATCGAGCGCCAAATACAAAAACCCTACCACGCTAGGTTTTTGCGCCATTCCAGAATCGCAGGATCCAGCGCTGCCCACGCTCTGACCACACAACTGGCGCCGGTGCATGTCTGTGCCAGCCACGCCAGAGATGGCGACACACATCCAGCCCAATCACTGTATTTTCAACACTTCATAAAGTTGCTTCAGCGGGAAGCAATTGACGACGATCGTAAGGCACGTTCAGTACATTGAGCACTGTGGTAAATGGATCTTCTATTCATACGAGGCTAGCAAGCAGCCGTCCCGGCACGGACACGATAGCGCAAATGCAGGTTCAGGACCGCCAGCGGAAGGTCTCTATGAGACCGAGTATCACAAAGTTAAGCATGAACTCGACCCCCGTCGGTAAGCCACATCTCGTCGGCCGCAAGTCAAGTGAAAGCTCCATTAAATCTGAGCGATCTGACCCCTGTGACTCCACTGAAACAATGAAAGTAACGGCAAATGGCGGATGCCGCCGCGTCTGTCACAGCTCACTAACAAACAGCAAATGATGAAGGCATTTGCGGCAATGGCCACCCCCAAGTGCGCTGACACAATACCACCTCACCATATCACCAGGAAACGTGGCCACGCCGGCGGAATTGACACCACTCTTTGATTTCAGACGCAGAGAAGTTCCCCAGACATCCTCGTGCAGTCTATGCATGCGTGCGACTACGGGAGCGCACCGCTCAGGCCACTCATGCCACTCTTTTAAACCTGAAACGTCCCGTAGTGGTGTCGGTCACCTCCGGCTGCATGGCGTACTTCGCGCACGACATCATCAGCGTCCTTGACGTTGATGCGATATCCCGCGATGCGGTTGTGAACGTCCTTCATACAGCAGGATATCTCCTCCAAGTGGCCGCGCGCGTCCAGCACCTCACACAACGCCCTGACATAGTAAGAGCCCCAGTCCGGCACACGGAATGCCTTGTTTCCGGGTGTGGTGGCAGAAAGGAAAAGAAAGTCGGCGAGCGCCGTCGTATACCGTACGTTCCGCTGCTGTCGTAAGCCACCTTCACCTCCACCACATCCACCACCTCCCGGCCCATCCGCAATCACCACTGGACGCAGCGCGTTGGGACCGCGGCAAGCCTGTGTGATCACGATCTTGAGCTTCCCGGCCAAAGCCGCGCAGCGGTGGGCCCCAAAGTAGTGGAACAGGTCGTTCAGCCACAATGAGTCACAGTCGGAGCTCAGAATGAAGTGTCCGCGAGAGTCTCTGTCTCCATGAGAGAGGAAGCACACCACGAGAAAATCGAAAGACTTCATGTCATTATCTTCTGATACTGACCGCAGCCTTGCCTCAATATCACACTTTCTGCAGTTGGGAAAGACCTTCGTCTCACATCCCAATTTCTGGAATGTCGTCAACAGCATCTCCGCGTCCAAATCAGAGCCTTCGCGCCGACCATGGTCGATCCATTCCTTTAAGCCACAGCTCTCCTTTTGGCACATGAAGTCCATCTGGTTGAAAACCATGCAAAATCCGCGGGAGTTGGGATATATCTTCCAGGTTGGCACATCCTGTGATGCGCCGGGAATCCCAGTCATATCCACCACCTTCCTGTGGTCAACATCGGGGTTCACAATGCCGGTGGCCATTAGCGCTGAGGGCTCCCCGACCAACACAGCTCTCAGGTCATCTCGACCGATACTCAGAAGTCCGTCTGCCAGAACGGTCAAGTCGGTAAGGTCAATTATCCGCTTTTGCATCCAGTGCAGTATATGGAGCTCCAGTAGCTGCTTGATGGTACGGCCTTTAGGAAATGGTGGTGATACGGCATCGGGATGATGGTTGGAAATGCTATCACACAAACGACCGACATCTTCCTGCTGGATCTGGCAGCAAATCGTATTGAGGGTAACCTGAAAGTGACATGGTCTGATTAGACACTTGATGATATTGATGATGAAACAATGATGATACTGAACAAACTCCGACTACAAGCTCTCCTCAAAAATACTCGGCTAAACCAAACCACGTCAATAGCACATGATGGTTGTTCTGAAGAACCCGCTCGTGCGTGCGTAGTCGTGCTAAAATATTTCTTCTTTTCGAGACACCGGATGCCCGGACACGGAATAAGGATTTTGGGACGTTAGTACAACAGCAAAAGCTCTGACCCACATTTTTAACAGTGCCTTGACATGGCTCTTACGGCCAATGCTTACACACGTTAGTGCTGTGCCACGTAACTTATCGTTCAGGCTTACACTTTTTTACTTCTACTGCAAAAACATATCCAGTAATTTCTTATACGCGACTTCACTTCTGCAAAAACTCATAAACGACTTGGGAGTTACACGTCATGGGAGCTACACGACAAAGCTCACGCTTCGAGACTGGCAAACCTCATTACTTTTACCATTCTACTGCCAAAATTTACAGTCATTACATACACAAGGCGCTACTTCTCCTGCAAAGACTGATGCGCGAGATCAATATTACTCCACAAAATTTTAACTTAAAAAATGTATGCGCGTTATTGCTTTTACTGCAATCACTCATCAGGCCATTACTTGCAAATGACATTGCTTATATTGCAGAGATACAAGGGTAGCATCAATGCTGAACAACAAAACTTGCTTCCAAAATGCAAATTTGCCACTACTTAAACCGCAAGAACTTTCGGCGTATGCGAAAGCGCTGTAACTTTGGTAGCAAAATACCAATGACGCGTCAGCTTTTTGGAACATAGCTTCGTCGTGTAGTGCTAAAGTATTACGTAACTCATTGCAGTTGAGGTAAAATTGAGTTTTAGTGAATACCAGTATTATGCAGTTTCACACTCAGTCGGGGGGCCCCAGTCACTCCTCACCTGTGTTAGAAATGTGTTTCACATTCGGGGCAAACGTGTTTGATTTAATTTGGGGCAGTTCTTGTTATTTTCCCTGCTTAGCCGTAAATTTGTTTTGCAATACTATGACACTGTGCTATGCCTTTCTCTTGGTGGAAGGAATGCTGCATTGAACTGGGACCGCCGAGGGTCTGCCGACTGCAATAATTGCAGCAGCAATAATGCACCGACACCATGAAGTGGGCACCTCTAGTTTGATTTCGCCCTTCTAAGCGCCCTCATGTTTTCGCTCGCTCTAGCGCTTTGGTGAGACTTACCCTCTGGGTGGAATGTACTGACAGGTTTTACTTGGGGAACATGGTCTGTGTCGTATAGCACAAATGTCGCATTTAAGCATTGGTGGCAAAAGTAAAATCACTTATAAACGAGGGCAATATAGGTATTTACAGTACACTTAATGACGGATATAATCTTTTAGATGCAAGTTTTTCATTAATTTCAAGCTTTCTTGCGTCGCACGTATGTCAAATCTGAATCGTTGCAACGGAAATAATGTCGCATGCAAGTCAAGACTGTATGTCTTTGTTGTAGAAGAAATGACGAATAGATGTTGTTTTTTAAGCATAAGTTTTGTCCCGTAGCACTCAAGTCGTGTGTGAGTTTTTGCAGCGGAAATAACGCCGGCGTCTAGGTAGAGAGTGAAAGTTAATGCAGTATTCGCAAAGACAGGTATGTTTTTCGAAGTATTCATTGTGTTGTATTGTACTCATATCGTGTATACGTCGTTGGAGTGGTACCCATTTCACGTCAAAGTAAAATCTGTACAAGTTTTTGCACCCGAAGTAATGTCGTTTGGACACGTTATCGGAATGGGAACTTTCCCATCGGTAGGATTTTTTGAGGTAGCACTTATATCGTGACCCCCCGAAGCTTTTTTTCCCGGAGGCATTTTTCGGGGGTGGTTTGGTGCAAGGAAAGATAATTCGGAAAATAAACCGTTGCGGTTGTCCGACATATGTTTTATACACTAACTAGTAGTAAAACTGATTCAGAAATATGCAACGAAGCAGCCATACGACCACTTTGCAGTCAGTCGTGCGCGAGACAGCCGGGCCAGGGGCAGTGGTCGCCGACGGTGGACGGGAGCAGGGCCCAGATAAGCAATACATGACAGAAGGGCCTGCATTCTGTGGCTTGGTTTCTAAATGCGAATCTCCAGTTTTGTGGCTTTTGTCAATTTGTTTTTGGCAGTTTCAAGCCTCCGAATTTGTTTCCTTTTAAAATGCTGCGACAAAATTCATCTCTTGAAAATCAGCCAGCGAAATGAAGGTGCAAGAAAAATCTGTCGTACCGTGAGCCATCGATTCACTTTCAAAATTCCCACCAGCATATGTCCAGGCCGTATTTTGGCATCTACTCTGTGGAGGCAGATGCCTCCTCAATGACCCAGAATGCCTGCCCGCTCGTGGAGTTTCGCCTCCCAGGAAAGACAATGTTGAAATGGATCTGGATCTCGGGAATCTGGATAGCGTTATTTGCCGAATGACATAGATGAGTCGAATAGGCAAGATTGTGCACCAGGGAGAAACAGCTCTAGATGCATATCTAGTATAGCAGACAAGACATTTGAGTACAGAGCGATGACAACTTCCCACCTCTATCAACTCCCCCCCCCCCCCCCCCCTTCCTCATCTCCGGCCATCGGGTCTGCTTTCCAGAAAAAAGTTCCTGAAACACGCCCTGAACTTAGCACCCCAGTTCTTGGAACGTTCTTACGCCTGTGGGTGTCACCATGTGAGTCTGAATGACTGGAATCAGGGACGTGGACGTGCTGAATTCAAAGCTGAATTCAGCCCCCCTTCCCATGCTCCTTAGAGACCCCTTAATACGCGCCCGGGCGGCCGGTTGGATGCCCTTCGCTCGGGTGGGCGGGTGTCAATTTGACCCCCCTGAGATCTCAGGAACTAAGGGAGCTAGACACACCAAATTCACAGGGCGTGTTGGCCTGAACATGAACTTACTTATGTCAAAATTTGAGGTCTCTTGGTTATGTCCTTCGGGTCAAATAATGTTAAACAAAGTCAAACCCCAGGTTGGTCTCCAGTGCCCCCGGAACCTTGATACCTCTTCTTAGCAAAGGGTCACATGTTCATTTAAAGTCAGTGACCATGTTTGACCTTTTGAAGGTCATAATGATCAAAGCATTACAAGACTGCATTGAGTTTTGCATTTGAATAAGCGAAACAAGATTACGTTCGGCAGTATGTTCCTAAAACAAAATGCTGACCTAGGTCAATTTAGGTCAATTATCTATTCTGACATTTATGAAGCCCATCGAAAATTATAATGCGGTTTATGCTATCAATACATTCAAAATGAACACCAGAAACTACCCCATTCAGCAAGTCCTTGAGTGATCAAACAGGCTCTTTTTTATCTGTTCCTTTCTGAGATCTTCCTTTTACATCCTATTCCAGGCATTTCATTAAAATGCAGCTTCACACCGCCTCGAAATGGAAGTGATTTTTTGCAGTAGAAACAAAATCGGGATTCAACGAGGTGTTTGCTTTTTTATTCTAACATCGGGCATCCCGATTAACAGTGGCCAAAATCCGAGGATCAAAACCTTATCGGCTCAGCTCCCCTCCCCCCTAACCCATTTAGGAAGGTGACACACTTGGTTGGAATTCTCCTTAAGTTTGCAAACGTTCTTACAGTGTGATGTTCAAGGTAAGAAATTATCCTGCCTTATAAAAACCTTATGTCTGAAAACCGGCTACCTTGCCCTTAAAAAAGCCGAAGCACATGCAGCCCATATATTGGCGTGTCCCGATCAAAGCTATCACCTAGAAAAAGACCGGCCAGAATTTCCAGACTTAACATAAGAAAGACCTGTATGATAAAATATACAAGGCATCTCCAGTATACTATGTGATACGAAATGAACATTGAACTAACAGTGATACCTTCAGTTATCAGCAATTCATAGAAATCTTATGCATTTCTTGGCCCAGATTTTCCTTTTTGTCCACATTCATCATGGGGCCGAGGGACTCAGAAAACCATTGGGCCTCAGTTCTTCATTGGGGGCTTCCCCACTCACCCCCACACCCGAAAAAAATATAGTAATGCCTCTGCACATATTACAATCAAGACGTAGCAACGCGAGCCCGAGTGGGCCAGAGTTCTCATGCATTCGGCCACCATGGATTAACGGTATAATCTTGCTTATGGTTTACCACATATGTCACCTAGGACATTGTATGTTCATACCTTGAGTGACGACAAGAAGACCGGCTTTTCCAGACGACTGATCTGTTCCCGATCCAAACCAAGGGTGGCCAGCACATCCAGTCTGCCAATGACCGCCAGAGCTTCCAGAAACAAGTATTTCCACGTCGCGTTTTCAAAACCTTTTTGCCCAGCTTGAGAAGGAGTCAGCCGCTGCTTTGCCACAATCTGCACTGGTCATTTTCAGGACGCATTTTTGTAGCACAGCGGCTGGCCAATCATCTGTTGTTAAGAACAGGATACGAACCACGTCTTCTGGTTCAAGGTCTTCCTCGATGTCACGGAGGGCAGCAATATCCAGATTCTCGCCGAACACATTTTCTCGCGGCTCCGTAGGAAGCATGATCGGTCGTGTATCTGTTGCGAATGGTTCTGGCTGATAGGTTGGGGTGATGGTAAGGTTTACCTCCAACTGATCGCCACCTTCAATGCAAGTCAACTTGCCATTTGAGGCTTACTCAACACTCATGTCAGAACTACCAGGCCAGGCCAGGCCACGCCAGGCCAGGCCAGGCCTTGCCTTGCCTTGCCTTGTCTTATCTCGTTTTCCTGGGTTTTCCTTGCCTCGTCGGTACGCCGCCACCTGAAATGCAGAGAGCATCTAACAAGCTACGCAGGAACCAACAGCTCATGGCTTCCCGGTATATAAAAGAAAGCTTCACGAAGTGACTCAGAACAAAATATTACATTTCGTATCTTATCCGAGCTGTTACTACAAAAAAAATACACAAAACAAAAAGATAGTAACAGCTCTTATCAGAGCTGTAGTAACAGCTCTTATCAGAGCTGTTACTACAAACAAAAAATATACACCTTATGGCACACGCACGCACGCACGCGAGCGCGCGCCCACACACGCGTGCGCACGCACACCCACGCCAACGCGCACACGCACACGCACACGAATGGAATATTTGGAGAAGTAGACATGTCAAACCCCCATCGCTTCAACCAAATACCACCACGGATTTACGGATTTACGTCAAACACATTTCCGTAAAGTAAAAACGGAAACACGCAAGATTAGCAATGTTTCTTCTCATGGCGCTTGGTTTTCAGGTTTTGGTTACGTAAATGTGATTGAAAAACACGGGCAGATTTTTGGTCCTGTGGCATATTAAATATTTGGCATATCTCCTAAGCGGCAATGGCCGCATTGCTAGGACATCTTTATCACCAGTGCAACACCATTACCACCCATAGGACACCTTATTACCAAAAACACACCTCTATCATGAGTAAACATAATTATCACCACTTGGATAACTCATCGCCAGGACATCCTTATCGCCATGACACCATTTTACCCATAGGACACCTTTATCGCTAGCAGAACACCTTTGTCGCCAGGATGGTCCCACCACGCGCGAGGAGGGCGAGGCGACAACACACCTGACAATCCTCAGAAAACGCTATCCGGATGACGCTCAATCCCAAGGTGATCAACCCCAATACCTTTAGCAAAAAGACCACTGGGCTTAATTAATGTATCAGAAAGCCCCTATGTCATGAGTACCCAACATGTGGACATCCTTGATGCGGTATTCACATACCAACTAACAACTAGCATTGCTTCAAAATTGTCCGGCTATGAGAAGTCCCAAGGCCGATAGTTCCAGTCGAAGTGAGTTACCATTTGGCATTTGACTAAAATACCACGAAAAACGAAACGAATTTTGGTTTGATACTGATCGCAATGAAAATGGCCATAGAACTTTGAAGCGTTCGTGGTTCAACCCGTACCGGGATGGGGCACAGCAGCTTGTATTCGAAATCGGCCTCGGACAGTGTGACAACGGCTGCTCTCCGGTCGATTTCTGACGCATTCCTAGGTAGTGCAACTTTGACGCAACTTAGTGAGCTCCTGTCGGCAGGGCCTCGGATAACATGTTAACTGGGGGGGGGGGACAAATGCCCCGCAGTGACCGAAATTGCCCCCCCCCCCCCCCATTAAACACATTTTGCCCCCCCCCCCCCCAGTGGGAGATCATATAAAGATCAGCAAAAACGGTAATGCGCTGCCATGAGTAGAGAAATCAGCAATGGTGGAAATCCTGAAGCTCACGATTACGAAAGACGTCGCTATCATGCTTCTTTATAGTTTTTCACCACGTTTTTTCCTAATATGGTAGCTTCCTGGCAGCCGGCGGTTTTTTTACTAAGGCACTTCACGACGCAGCATATACAGTTTCGTTGCTTGGCAACGGCGGCAGACCCGACGTTGGTGGAATCAAGGCCCTATAAGCGTTAATTCAGTCGCCTGTGGCGGACCCGTTGCCAATTGGTGTTCTCGTCCAGGTCGCTGTGTTCAGCGATGGGCATACGACGGTTCTTTGTGAAAAAGGTAGCTATTTGATGCTCATTAATTCCCAGTTCGATGTGCACCGTGCAGTTGCTACTTTTGGGTCCACGGGGTCACAAGACAGGGCAAAAAGGCAGGAAAGGCCTGCCGCATTCTGTACGTCTGAATGGCGTGACTCACTAACTAGTGGATTTCGTGGGATGCCAGAAACAAGAGATAGGAGCAAACCGAAATTATGCATGCAATTTGCGAAATATCGAAATAATCAGATATCCATGGGCGTGGAAAGGTGCCAAGGGAAAAGTGAGAACTGTGTGAGCCTTGGTGAGAAGGCGAAGTTTTTTATTACGAACTGTAACCAAAGACACGTGTTCCACTCATTACTTAAAGCAAATTTCACCTGGTATGGCCGTTTTCATTTCCATGAAAACCACATTCAGCCAGCTATGGAAAGGTTGTGCCAATATGCGTGATTTCATTCATTACCTCGTCAAGGCTGTTTGCTTGTTGAATCCCTTTAGTCTTTACTGCTGGAAAGAACTGGCCCCTGACCCCAGAGGAAGGTTCATCGTTCAGCACGACCACGGAAAGGCTTGGGGCTAGGAATGGATAAGTGGCCCCAAAACAACTCCTCATTATCATTACCCCCCCCCCCCCCCCCCCCTCCCCCGGTAGTGGCATGATAGGATCAGTTGCGAGGGACCCTGGAAGACGCAAGTCTCACCAAAATCTTAGTGGGTGCTGAAAAGTCTCTTCCAGGGCTGAAGTTACACGGAACTCAGGATTTTTCGACGCAACACTGGCGGTAGCAACCTATATAATGTACAGTGAACCAGCATTGAACTTGTTCAGACTTACAATGACCGGCGGCGTCAGAGCGGACAGCAACGAGAAACTGATGACCGTGGTAGATCAGATGCATCGAAACTCTCATGCTGCTGCTGTGGATGCAAAAAAACCTGGGGCTGCTGTGGATGCGAAAAACCTGGGACAGCAGTGGGAAAGCGGAAGCTCGAAACACCCGTGGATGTCCATCCTCCAGAGAACTAACGCTGGTGTCACCAACACACCTGGAGCTCACCATTGCTGTTTACGAGAGCCTGCACGAGGCTTGAAGCCCGACTGCTGAAAATCAGTTAAGTGAGATGCATCGTGCAGGCTATTTTTGTATACAGATCGATTGCTACGTGACAAAAGCTTATCAATGGTTTCTCCAGTGCTTGCGGAAGAAATAGAACAAATGTACATCGTGGAGATAATTGAAACGCAGCAAACATGTCCCGTTTGAGTTCAGCTCAGGGTTGCGGATAAAATTACCTGAATAGCTTCGAAGTAGGTTCACTTCATCATTGATTTGGACGATCTTTCTAAGGGCGGAATCTCCTGTAATACTTTGGGGGGGGGGTCTGGGTCCCAACAACATTTTTGGAGCAGCTCCATCCATGGTTGTTGCATTAATTTTCCGGTCGGTGCTATCTTAGAAATTCAGCGAAATCGACGGAGAGGTTTGCTTGATGAGGGGTATACATGAGGTATATTTATATATATATATATATGCCAATTTTTTGGATTGCGCCTCCCAGTGCCAACTCCTTATCCAGGGCCCTGCCTGTCAGCACATTCTTAAACACATCCCCAACACGAACGGACCTGCGGTCTGCGCACGGGAACGCACCTGATTTTGGACAATATGATTGTCCATTTTCACTTCAGTCAGAATATGTTGGCCTCGTGTGGCTTTGCTGTTGGGTTTCAAAATCTTACCTGGCTTCAATGTGTGTTCAGCAGTTTTGGAAACTTGGAAACTCCTCACTTGGAACATTTTCTATATCCTGTAAATTACATGGGGCAAGTAAAATTGTCAGGTGCATGCAATTTTGCATGTGAAACCTGGTTGACAAAACATCGTCGGAAATCATAGTGACTGTTGGGCACTGGAGCAACTTCCTATATTTTCTCTGGTTAATTCCCAGCACCAGCTTTATTTCCTTTCACCTGTTTGGACCAGAATGTCCCACAATTATTATTTTGGAAAGGTGTTGGGTAAGCCAAATTGAGCTAAACATGCCCTCTCTGTATTACAAAGTAGCCCTCTTTGCACCACTTTCAATGAGTATCTCTTTGACTAATTGCCTGTTTGCTTCTATTCTCCCTCTCTTTTAATTAAATTACCCAAAGGTGGATCCTGGGGGAGGCACAGAGCCATGCTCCCCTGAGCCCTGAAGGTGCCCATAGACTTTGAGAATGCCCATAGCTGGCCGAACAGTTTTTCAACACAAAAAGCAACAAAATTGGATGTCTTTGGGCTTCCTGACACCCAAGAGATGCCCAAGAACAGTTCCAAGAGAAAGTAAAAGACCATTGAGTAAACCTAATGAATTCTTCACTGATTGAGAAGGCAATGAGTGTGAGATTTTAAGGCTTATTCCCCTCTCCAAATAGCCTTTGCTGTTCCTGGTGCCCCCATATGTCCACTTGCTGGGTAAATCAGATTGCCAAGGGCCCTTTCATGTTGTCTTTGATTATTTTACAGTTGCTCAGAGGGCCCTATGCTGTTGTCAGGGTCTTTTCTACTGAAATGCTGGGGACTCATGTCAGGCAGGGGCCTTCTGTGGATTATTCCCATTTAGCTCTACATACTATAGCCAGGGCCCTGTATGTTGAACTGCAGGGTATTCTAGACTGCTCAAGGGCCCTTCACCTGGGTTTTGATTACCTAACTATGCACCAATATGAATGAAGTGTGGTGCCCCAAAATTTGACCTATTGAACTGTATTGTGGTGCCACTCCCCCCCCCCAGAAAAAAAAATTGGGTGCCTGCTTAAATAATGTTGATGACACTGCTGTTAAGGTTTTGTGATGCCTCTTTTGAAAAAGAGACTGATCTAGACTTTGGTCATGATGGACAGCAAAGAAGTTGCGCTGTCTGTTACAATGCAGGTTTCAGGACCCTTTCAATGGCCCACTTGGATCTGTGGCAAGTAAATATTTTGGTGCTGCAAAATTAAGGTTTTGGTCACCCCTTGCTGAATGGGCTGACCCATGATTCTTTTCATTTGAGTGCTTTGGGTATTACAATATTTTCTGGTTTGTGCAGTTGCTGTTAAGTTGTTATTTGTTACTTTGTTGAGTCTCAAATAAGACCAGTACATATGAATGCTTAAAATATTGTGCATCTGTTGCATCATACCCCATGGTAGATCATGACAAATTAATGATTGAGATATCATGCAAGCCCTGATAAGATAACTTGGAACTTCTAGCACATAGCAATTCACAAAAATATCCACCAGCCAAGGAGCAATCTTTCTTGCCTAAGGGATAGATGCTGGAGCAATGTAATACCTACATAGCCTTGTACCATGCTAGATGTTTTGAATTTGAGACCAAGAGTGTAGTTTCTTATTCATCTGAATGGGACTCCAGTCCCTGCCCACCTTTGGGAAAGTTTTGTAAAATGCAGGGATTGACCATGGTTCATGACATTTGCCTGAGCTCAACAACTTTCTATGTTCATCTCCTTCCCACACTTATTAACAAAACTACACCTCTTGGAACATCAAACTGCAGCATGATCCAGCCCAAATATTGGCAGGGGCCAGCAGGGGCAAAGGAATAACTTCTCCCTTATAGAGCAAACCAGCCCTACGTGCGAGTTTACATTACCGCATAATCATCATGTTCAGGTCATGGCAAACAGCAAACAAGAAACAGTAACAAAACCGCATATTCCTCATATCAGAGGCGGTCGTAACCGAAGTAAAAACCCACGGACGACATTGTGAAGGATATTTGCCTACGATGTTCGTTACGATCTCTATACCCCTGTGTTAGCATACCATGACGTTTTCCGAAACTACTGCATGATAATTACAGAACAATACCAACATGTCACACATGCACTAACCCCGGGCTCCGCCACGATCACAAACCTCCTAACTGGCCGAACCTCTCGTACTTCACGTGTTCTATTGCCTTCTATGGGCCAAACTCATGGCAGTAGAACACCCTGGAACACCACCTTCGAACTGATCACCGGTTTTACTGGCTATCGGATTACTAATTACGACCGGCAGGGCCCCCCGCGGGCCAGCCGGCGTACATTCGTATCCCAGTCCCTGGAGACTTTTTGCTTAAAGGCTCCGTTAGGCGTTTGTGGCATCCGAGGCTACTCGATAAGGCTGCGCAGACGTGACGTCACGATGAGACTAAAACTTTGTAGCCCGTAGTATGGTTTTTGGCTGATACTATGCAAAGGCTGGTAGATACTAGTAACATGATTACGAACGGAGATTTCGCTAATGAGCTTAGTAGCAATCCCGTTCTAGATCCTTGTTTCAATGTTGGACGCGTGTAAATCGACTCAGGAGTGCATCTACTCAGAAGAGCTCCTCTGCCTAAATCCACTACTAAGTGGATTTACACAGAATGTCGCTTTTGCGTAAATCAACTCAGATCTGAGTCGATTTCAACATAGGCCAATGCAAGTGTAAATCCAGTTGTGAGTAGATCTACACAAACGTGGCCTCAGCAGCAAATCAACTCAGATCTGAGTGGATTTGCTCAGGGGAGCGATTTTGTGTATATATACACTTCGTCGTGGATTTGAGCAGATGATCTGTTCTGAGTAAATGCACGCGTGACGTGATATACACAGAAGCGCTGTTCCGTGTAATTCCACTCGTGAGTGGATTTAAGCAAAGAAGGTGTTCTGTGTAGATCCACTCATGACGTGATATACACAGAAGCGCCATTCTGTGTAATTCCACTCGCGAGTGGATTTAAGCAGAGAAGGTGTTCTGTGTAGATGCACTCATGGCGTGATACACACAGAAGCGCCATTCTGCGTAACTCCACTCGCGAGTGGATTTAAGCAGAGGTGTTCTGTGTAGATACACTCATGATGGACACACACACCTGTGAATTACATCGCGATGTGATCTGCGCAGGCGACAGAGCGTATTCAACGCAGCGAACTGGCGAACTGATCTATGACTTACCGAATAAGGGAAAGGTGTGATTTTAGCAATCAAACACGCGTACAAAAGCTGAAAATATGCATTTGCCCATGCATAGCTCATTTTTTTCATCACTGAAGCTACACATCGGCGTACTTTATTGAGAACATACCGTCCAGAGAAGCGAATATATATATGCATATATATATATATATATATATATATATATATATATATATATATGTACATATACAATATAGTATGCGTGCGTTTGTGCGTGTACATGTGTATGTACCAGGAAAAGTAGATGCTGAACTTGTTATATTGCTTACAAGGCACGCCATGCAGCATCGCATGCTTGCCACACGGTGCTTTGCAGTGTGCGGCTTGTATCCAGTCTTGGTAACGGGTGAGGGGTGCGGAGGGCTCCTAAAGGGGCTCCTTGATGGGTGAAACGCCCCCCCCCCCCCCTCTCATACACACAAATTCGTCAGCTTTGGCCGGTGCATTTCCACCGGCATGATTTCGTGCGTGTTTTATGCATTTCTAACTTTCTGCACTGGGGCAAGAAGCCATGAAAGGTACTGGAAAGCAATTTGCTGTCTGTATTTTGTTGCAGGCAATAATTAAGAGAAGGGAGGTGATGTGAGATGACATACAAAATAACGCATCGGTTTTATTCCTTTTAAATTGTTAAGCTGGTTCTATCCAAAGGGATAGATCTTAGAGCTTTGCCAAGCTTTTGTTCTGAGCTCTGCGGAGATATTCATGACCCCGTGCACGTTGAGTGTAGATGGAAATGGGGTCAGCAATGTTTTCACCTTGGCTGACCCATGTTCGCCTAGGGATGTTAAACGTTCTGTCAGAATTTATTAGTGATGCAACTTACGTAACAGTGTTTAGGATACGCACTTCAAGTCTTAGAAGCCTAATCCGATGATGTGATTACATCTCCTCATGCAGTAATGCATCTTCGCCCAGAGTTTCTATGTGGCAAGTGTATCCTCGATTTCAGAGGTCTAGTTAGGTCACTTCCGGTGAACCTAGGCTCTTGTAATTAACATCTGTAATAGTACCGAGCATTCAAGGGGCAATGGCAAGAAATGCCCGACCCTAGCCATTATATTTTCGAATGGGACTACTTGAAGTCATCTTTGGAAAAACAGACTTAATTTAAGTAGCGCTCCCCTGGGCGGGAAAATCGCAATGATGGAACGTTGAATAGCGCGGTAGGTAAACTGGAGAAATGCATGGAAGACTTCGTTAAGCCCTCACTCAAAAAACAAAAACAAATTGGAACCGAAATCGGCAAATCCAAACTTGGGCCGTACGTACGTTCATGCCTATGCAACCTACATTCTGAATGCAATTCGGTACCTTAACTGAACCTAGTACTGTGAAGTAACCCAACTGAAGCTACTCAACTGATTCACACGCGGTACCAATATGGGTGTGTTTGACATCCAGATGAGTCTTTCGTCTGTAAATTCGAAGTCGCTCAACTTGGTGCTAACTTAAAACCAAGAACTTCACTTCTGCGTAACGTTATGGGAAACGCTTTTTAGGTTTAGGTCACTTGGAGACGTCTGTGCCGAAAGAACCTCACTGTTAAAGACAGTCATTGGCGGTACCTAATGAGGGTACCGCCAATAATAAAATGCGATAAATATTCTCTTCGCTCTTCTATCTTCTACCTTCGGCTCTTCACAAATATGTCTTCCGTGAAATCGCTAGCATTTTCGTAGGCACATCAGCTTTGCCTGCCTTGTAAAAGACACACGATAAAGTTGTGTGCATGCAGCTGTCGTCCAACCTCGGTACCCATGATCCTCGGTCACTCAACCGAAAACGCCCTGGACGATGCCGCTGAGTGGGCTGTACTCGGATTGGGGTTAAGCACGTCGTGGCCGTCACCTTCGTAAACTTCAGCCGTGCCTTTAATGTATTAACCATGGCGTAGATCCGACAAAGCTGCAGTGATATTGTATTGATCCGAATTGGTTTGGGAGTTACCTTGCTGGTCGAAGGTGGATGGTGAGAAGCGCAATCTTTCTCTTCTGTCGATTTACGGTGTCCCTCAGCGACCCTTGGTTGACCCTATCCTCTTCAGTATTTTTACGAATGAATCTCTATTTTACCTCCTTCACGAATATCTAGTATCCTGTGCCGACCACACCCAACTGCTGGACTCTACACATCCAGACCAACCATTCGTTTTGAAATCACGACAGGAGGAAACCATTCAAGTAGTTAATTCCTTCTTCACATCTAACTCTCTTAAAATGAAGCCGACCAAAAGAGCTATTCTTCCCGGCACTCCACAATCCTGAAAGGAAACCTTATGTTTTCACCTGGGCAGTGCGTGACACCAATTGAGCCCTTCGTCGCCCATGAAGGTGCTGGGGGTCCTATTGCAGGTACCTTTTCTTGGGAGATGCTCACATCCTACGTTAAAATGCGCAGCCCCATCCTTTTCCGCTTACATAGAATCCGCCACAACCAACCATATTGGCTGTTTGTGACGAATCACAATGAACAAATTCCACCACAAACCACAATCAACAGATTCGTCACCCGAGGTTCGTAAATCTATCATCCAATCCCATGCTCTCATCTTCTGTACTGCCTCTCGGTCTGGGGTGTGGCTACAGCGCATCACCTAAATAGAGTGCAAGGGGTGATTAACCGTGGGGCCAGGATCGTCACCGATGCTCCTCAGCAAGATCCAATGGCGGCGACCGTTCAGGCGCTTGGCTGGCGCGGTGACCTAGTCATTCCCCGTGGCAGCATCGCTGTGTTCAGGGCCCTTAATGACTCGTGGGTTCCTTTGGAGATTCGGCCCCTGTTCACCACACGCACAGCTTTACGCCAGCGTGTCACCCGCGCGGCAGCGATGGGCGCCCTGGGTCTGCCAGCCCTCACCTATCGACAGCACGCAGGTCTTTTCGTATTTACGCGGCCTCATCCCGCTGCCGCCGACCACTACCACCTCTTACGCCTACAATGTGCTTTGCGTCAGTCTGAACGATGTAGACTGCCCTGTTGTGTAATCATTGCTTGTTTACCGCTTCGCGATATATTCTGACGGCTTAAATTTTGATACATAATTTACTGTTGGCCAAGTTGTTAGAACGAAGGGACGATTGATATCGTGCGAATCTGGTCGCGCGGTTTTTTTAAAAATATTGCACCGATACTACTGTTGCAATCGTACCGAGTCAAACAACCCAGCTGTCTGAATAATTTGTGATTGAAATGAGCTGAACATGACCCAGCCACGCATTCGCAATGAGAGGTGTCATTAGAGCTGCCAGTGGTCTTGCGCATACGGAAGAAACTCACAAGACATTTGATGGATTTCCTCAGGCGTATTTGTGGGTACGTGACATTTTCACAACGCGCTATAATCACTTCAGCAGAGTTGGTCAGCTTTAAATGTATTAAAGTATTGAGGTCAATGACCTCTCTGGGATAACCACAGCCTTGGAAGGTACGCGAAATGCAGTTCTGGGCACGCAGCCGTACGAGCTTATCACAGATGCATGCAATGAGAAGTAGCAACCATGTCACAACAGCGCAGGTATTTTACCGCATTGGAGCGGCCAGACATGCCGTGTTGTCAGGAAAACTTTCTCACATGCCAACAAATCCCGTACACTAACAAAGGCACACCCTGAGTGCTGAGATGCATGGAAACCCACCACTACGCACAATCATCAACGTTCTTCTTGACTAGATTCAAAGCGTGCGAGCACAACCAGTGTCAAAAAACATCAATAACAACCATGGCTGAGAATTGTTGAACGCACTAAGCAATTATATAACAGCGGCCCGACACACTGAATAAGTAGCCAAAGCAATGTTCTCATGTTGGTATTTTTTAAAACACATTCTCCTTAGCGGTCACTGGTTAAACTAGCACAAAACAAAATTGTACATACATTTGTATGCGTCTTCCTCGCATGGGGCAAGTATATAATTACCCAGTCAGTTCTCGCATATGTGGAACTGTCGAAGAACGCATCAGACATTTGACGAGGCTACTTAGTTCACTTCAGCTACTTAGTTCAGGTACACGACAGATCTAAGGTCGCTCAACGTTCATCTCGACTAGTGAGGAGATAGTGCAAGGACATCCAGGGACGCAGGAGGTTGGACGTAAGCAACCATTGCTTGGTGA